GATGTTGATAATTTTTCACAGTCAACCTCGGATATAACTTAAGAGATGTTGGTTATAAGTCTGTCAGACAACAATCCTACGACCAAAAATGACACAAATATCAACACAACATCATTGAATAATAAAAGAATAATGTTTGGAAAGTATGTCGCTTACACTATCTTATCAAAATATCTTTGAAATGAACTTACGATTGAAGGATGAATAGCATGGAAATGGTTAGCATGGGTGCACATGGATCTTATATCGTTCAGCGTTCATTGATATCTAACTGATTGCATTCGAATGTTTGCCTGTTTATATAGATATTATTATTTTGAATATTCTAAATAATTTGATTGGTTCATAAAGATTCACATGTTCTGCTGTATTTTCTAGGCTCAAAACGTCAGTTAAAAAGTGATATTGCACAGTTATTTTTAAATATCTAAAAATTAAACAAGCAGTCAAATAAACTTCAGTGGTTGTCGTTTGCTGCTGTGTATCATATTTGTTTTTCGTTCATCATTTTGTACATAGATTAGGCCGTTAGTTTTTTCGTTTGAATTGTTTTACATTTGTAATTTCGGGGTCTTTTATAGATGACTATGCGGTATGGGTTTTGCTCATTGTTGAAGGCCGTACGGTGACTTATAGTTGTTAATTTCTGTGTCATTTGGTCTCTTGTGGAGAATTGTCTCATAAGCAATCATGCCACATCTTTTTATATTCAGCTCTATTTCCAGGGTATTGACAATAATAATGTATTAATTGTAGCATATTTTTTAAGTCGATATGAGGTTATACCGACCTAAAGAAGTAATTCGACCTTGAACTTCGTCCTCAGTTAATATACTTCTTTCGGGAAAATGTATCCTTGTATAGACCTCTAACAAAAGCTATAATTGTATAATTGTATAATGCGCTTATAAGACTTAATATAAATTGAAATGCATAAATACATTTACCTGTTTCTGTTAACAGGGGTTCATGGGTGTGATTGCCTCCGTGGTCTCGTGATAGCATACTCGCCTCGAGGACGGGAGTTCATGGGTTCAATTCCTGACCAGATCAAACCAAAGATTTGAAATTGGTATTTGTTGCTTTACAGTTAAGCAAGCAGTAATTAAGACCTAAGACCTTCATGACCTAAGACTGGTCGGCTCTGATATGCATGTTATATTTGCCTCGGACTTTAAAACCAATCCATCCATTCGTGAAAGTTGTTTTCTTGATTTAAGACTTTATATCACGTCCAATCATGGTTTGTTACTACGTGTTAGTCGTTTTAACGTAGATAAGGTATTTCTATTGATAACTAGGATTTGATAAATAAAGAAATTCACCATTCAAATATCTTTTTAGCTGAATAAAACCTTATGTATTCCAACTGGGGCCTCATTAGTTTATCTACAGCATCACTAGCCTGCCCACACTAAGGTTGTGAGCTTGAAAGCCGCTTTCGCCACCGATCTTAATTGACTAAGATTGCCAGTTTTTTTCGCTGACAGTCGGTGGTTCGTTCAACAATACAAACTGGCCGCAACGTTCAAGCATAGGGTGCTGAATGATGTGTTAAACATGAACGATAAATAGATCTGTCTTCAAAGTCTTGGGTGGATTTTAGGGCCAAGGACGTTTACGCTTTTTTACCTATAACACGAAAGATCATTTTCGCTTCAAACAATATGGACATTTGTGCTTTAAACTTTGATACACCTGAACTACATTGACCGGACCTTTTCGCTTTTTACTTATGATAGTTTACCTGTACTCTTAACCAAATTTATCAAAGTTTAGGATAGAGCTTCACACGTTCTTTTAAATTGTCCGTACAAACCAGAGAAATTCCTTTTTATTAGGTAATATCAGAAAATAATATTTAGGTAAACGATAGAGAAAAACGAAATGTTAATGGATGGAACATTTAAATTTTGCCCTAAATTCTTCAAACAACTTTTTATTTTTGTGACCATTCTATTGCATGGAAAGTCCAGAGATCTGTATCATCATTGTTTATCTACGCTTGTTTCAATACGTGAAGACCAAAATTTTGATGTTTAATGACCTGCTGTTCACAAATGACACAAAAGAAGGAACATGCTTTCGAGGAGAAGGGTTGTTGCAATCAAAATCAAAAGTTTAAAAGGACAGATAACACTAATGCTCAAAGTAAAAGCCAATTTTAATTAAAAATATTCAAAACAGAAAACAAAAGGATTGAGAAATATGAACCCAAACTAAAATCCGAGAATGAATTAAGGTCAGATGCGAAGCAGACGTCATGTGTAATATTTAAAACTGAAATTGAAAAATATCGCGACTATACATGTACAGCCTCCCTATTGTATAACCTTGCGAACCCAGCATTAATTTGATTTAAATCGACATATGTGCGCGTGATGCTTTATAAATGATAAATTTAGACTACATGATATCAACTTCCAAACGAAGGTTCGAAGTCATTCCAAGGTCAATGTCTTCTTTAGTCACGTCCGCAAATATTTATGTTTTTGTATTAAGGGAAAACAAATAAAATGATTTCCTTTGCACAGTTTGTATCTTGGTATTTTTAATATCCTCAAATCTATCATACATAATTGTTAGTAAATGCCCTGGTTTTATTAGTTGAGTTGACTCTAAACGGCCGGGCATTGTTGATATAACACATGGAGCTTTCAGTACTTAATGAAAATATTGTTAAAAGAAACAACGTACACAAAGTCTGAAAAATCTGAATTATTCTGATATATATATGCAAGTGAAATAATATGCATTTCCCACTGGACCCATAGCAAGCAACAATTAATAAAATTCAGAAAACAAATAAAAAGAACAAAAAAGACACAGTTGAAAATTTAAAGTCTTCGATCATGTAGATATTGATGACAGTAAATTTGTAAAAATCGTTAAAAGAATTATAAACCAAAAATACTAAATTTCCAACATAACTGGACAACGTTGTCTACATTGAGCATTGTACTTTAATGTTTGTTAATAAAAACAGTTTGCATTTGCATGGATGGTGATGCATGCAATGATATATCGGCTTACCCAGTCGACACACCAGGTCGACGCTCATTTAAAGTTCATCAATTCCGTCTGTTTTTGTTTGTTACCTTGAATAGACTATTTTCATATTACCGACTTTTGACTCCAGATTATATAATTTGTCGACTGGTTACCTTGGACATCATGGTACCAAGTCAGGTAAGAGCAAGCTAAAGAAGTAAAACCAAGCGTTCAATCGGTACAATTTTGGGGGAAAATTACCTGCTTAACATTTTTTTTTCACTACAAAATCATCGGAAAACAATAAACTTTCCCCTCAAATTACACCGATTATATGTTTGTTTTTACTTATTTTGGTTGCTCTTACTTGACCGAGTACCATGATGTCCAAGGTAACCAGTCGATAAATTATATAATCCGGAGTCAAAAGTCGGTAATATGAAAATAGTCTATTGTTATTCTACTGTTGTGCAACCCTGCAAAACGATCAGCTTTGGGATGTTAAGTGCATATTACGCTTACATTTTAATTATATATTGTTCTAGATCTTATAGTCGAAAGTGCGTATAGTTTATCGATTTTCTGAACTCGATTTTCTGAACTCGAATTTGAAATGTAAACATGAAAAAAATATTCATCTCATTTACATCTTTAGGCTATCATAAATATTTATCCTATATCATTCGTTGTTAAGACTTTGACTACTTGGTATTTCTAACGATATTTTAATAAAAGTAAAATGAGGAAACAACCTACCTGCTTACATATTTTTTTTAAAAATAGATTTGGACCAATTGAAATCATGCAGTTCTTAACGATATTTAAAATAAAGTCAGTTATCGTCAACCGAGGAAACAATCAGTCTGTATACATATTATATAATAACATATTTTTTATAAAGCTTAAGATTGTAACCAAATATAAAAGACAACAAGTGGGTCATCATCCTTTCAAGTCACGTTCGCAAGTAGTAAATTTGTATGAATGAAACGTGAAACTAATCAAAGCGTTCATTATAAATTAATATCCATTTTTTTTATTTCCTTACGCATATACAACGTCTTAAATTAAGTAATTTGAACTTGAGTTAGAATTAAGCTTTAGCAATGTCAACGTAACGCAACGAAAGTGGTGGTTTTGAGTTTATGACGTTTAAGCTTTATGGACAGCTCTATCGTTGATTTAAATTTGATAAGACTAAAGATGCAAAACTGAGAATCAAAATTCATAAGTCATAGAGAAACCGCCAAATGGCATAAAACGAGAAACGACGAAAAGACACACATCAGTCGACAAAACATTACATAAAATGAATGACTGAGCAACACGAACAGGGGTGATATAAGGTGATCAAGAATGGTAAGCATATCCTGCTCAATATATGGCACCAGTCGTATTGCTCATTGTAATTTATCAAGTTTGCTGCTTAGTTTCATTCTGTGATGTCATCAAAGAAGGAGAAAGCTATCTAAAACGATACAAGTTGTCCAGAAAGCTTTAGTCATAAGAATCCAGAGTAACGAAATGGTAGTCCAGACTACTTTAGAATGCAACTGTCAAGACGTAGAACGGCAATACAAGTAATTTTTCTTTGGTGTATTATATTGTATTTCATTGGATTGTTATGTCGTACATTTACTCTATATCATTACTCGTAACGGTAAAAACCACTAAAGGAACGGAGTTATTCATTTTCAATATGAACAATGACAGTTTCTGTCGTATTTATTAAATCTAAACACATATATACAATATATATGCAATGTTTCAACATTTTCGTTCAACTTCCAGGCTCCCCCTATATATATGCACTTATTTGAAAATAGCTAGGGTTTATATTATATTGACAACATTGTGTGTAAGGCAATCTTGAATCGTAAAATTTCTAGTAAAATCATATGTTTAAATCATTTGTAAAAGATTTTTTTTTTAATCAAACATTGTCGTCAATAAAAGCTTAATAAATGTTAACTTAACTATCTCTGCAATAACAACTATCCCGGAAGTAATAGAAGTGACTAAGAATTTATTACTATTTTGTTTGAAACTTATAACCCATTGGTCTACTGTTCCAATGACTTCACTTGGAATTATTCTAATAAGTTCTCCAGATTGTGAAATTTGATGTATGTTGTTTGAACCTCTTGAACAAACGTAGATATCCACGAGAATCAACATCAATTCCTCTCGGCTTTGACAACTTTTGGTTTTTGTAAGTAAAATTAATTGAATCCTCTGCAAAATACGACATACTTTCCGATCCGTCTACAAAAGCATATTTGTTGCTTTCAAATGCATAAATATGATTTAAGTTTTTCCGCTTTTGTTTGTTTATTTAATTTTATCACCGTTTATTACATTTAATCAAACAATATTACTGTTACAAGGAGCAATAAATTAGATATTGTACACCATAAACTGGAAATAAAAGTTTGATTTGTCTTTCGATGATCATTGTATGTATATTTACCAAAATAATTTGATTATTTCCTCGACATGAAACCGCTGACGTTATGTCACAAAATTTTGATACCATAAGGCCAACTATCAAACTCAAGATTGCACTGCAATAATCCATCTTTAGGAGTTTTTTTTCTTTTATCGTTAGTTATCAAAATATATTCTTTAGTAAACATTCTACTCACTGAACTTTTACAGTTATCTCCTGCGCCAAGATTTAAGAGTTTGTAAACTTTCCCAGTATCAAAATCGGGTTTATTCGAATCGGAACTGAATCAGCTGAAAAAGGCCATGACGACTCCGACTGAATTTTTTGCTTTTTCTTGAACATTTTCTTCGACATTATTTCGTTCAAAATCGAATATACTATCATCGTTGTTTGTTATTGCATCGTTTGAAGAAACACATAGTGACTCTTTGTGGGATAAAGAGTAGTAAAAAAGTCACCAATTCATACTGTCTTCAATCTGTACAATAAATATCTCGTTATATAATGGTTGCTTCTAATGAGAGTATCAGAGCCGCATTTTTGTAACTATTTATTCGTTAATGGTCTCACGATGCATCTTGAATAATGAAAAGCTCACAAACGGCAAATAAAAAACACCAAAGGGTAGTTCGTTAGAGGTCGTTTAAATAATCTCCTGTTGGTCTCCTGGTTTTAAAGAATGATTTTGTTAGTTTTTTTCCCACATCAGCTAGACAACTTGACACACTATTAAGCTATACGGCTATTTTTGAAGGAAGTATTTTGATCTTTAGATGTCTTTTTGTTAGTTAGATCATATTGTCTGGTTCACGTAAAGACATATCTCTTTTTATTCATATAATACAAGATAAAACCAATCGCACAATTATTTACCAAGATGGTGTCGAAAATGATAAGGATAGCAACGAGGATGATGATGGATTCATGATAAAATTATATAATTTCAGCAACAACAACTTTCCCGGATGAGAGTGAAGTTACCAAGAATTTATTGCTGTTTTGTTTGAACCTTATAAACCATGGCGCCACTGTCCCTAGGTCTTCACATGGGATTTTTCTCATCAGTTCCCCTGAAGTTGAAATTTGATGTATATTGTTTGAACCATAAAAACAAACATAAAGGTTTCCACGGAAATCTACATCAATACCTCTTGGAAAATACAACTTTTGGCTTTTGTAAGTAAATCTAATTGATCCATTTTCTGAGCAAGACACACATTTCGATCCGTCGGCATAGACATAGCTGTTGCTTTCATATGCACAAATATAATAAGTTTGACCACTTGTTTTTGTTTTCTTTATTTTCACACCGCTTGTTGCATTTGACCAAACAATACTGTTTTCACATGCCATAATGAATTGGTCATTTACATCTAAATATCGCAAACCACAAACATCATGTGAAAGCTGAATTTTTCGTTTCATGGTCATTGTGTGTATATCCATCAAACGTATTTCTTTTGAATTTGGAAATGACACTGCTATATCATCATCTCGAAATTTCGTGATATCATACGGTTCACTGTTCAACTGAACATCGCAGAGAAATGTACCAGTATGATTAAACTTCAGGATTTTTTTCGTGTTGGTATTACTTAAGAGAATTGATTCTTTGATAAATATTCCACTCACTGCAAGACCATTGTTATCTCCTGCCTTCAGAGTAAATAGCGATTTCACCTTCCCAGTACGAAATTTAACTTCCTTTGGTTTTGAATAAGAGTTTGTAAAAGAAGTACAATGCAACTTCGACTGAGTATTCTGTTTTGGATTGAAAGGTTTAATCTTACCGAAATATTGTATGTTTAAATTTTCCACGTCAAGGTCTCGTTGAAAATAAGTTGAACATCCACTAACGTCTGGAATTGTATCTATTAAAGAACCATGCATCGACTTCGACTGGACACTTTCTTTTGAATTAACAATTCTAACTTCACCAAGAGTTCTAACGTGTTCTTGAAACTTTTCAAGTCCGCTGTTCTTTTTGAAAATCAATGACCTTTTATCAATGTTTGATGTGGTATTTTTTATTTCAGATTCAATTTTTTCTTTCTTTGGAACTAGCTTGTTGAACTCAATCAAACATTGAATCTCTGATCCATCATTGACACTTGTACTCAAAATATTGTACCAGTTATCAACGGTAGACTTTAAGCTGGACATTTCAATCATCCTGTCAGTAAGTTCTGTAACTATGCCCTTCTTTTTGCTGAACAACTCCTCTTTTGCAGCTTTTTCCACTTTGTTGACGTGTTCGATTAGATCTCTCTTCAAATTTTCAATTTCTGAAAAAATGTCTTCCCCCATAATTTCAACGGCACACACATATTTCTGTGTGTCTTGAATCGATTTATCAAGCAAAGTTTTCCACTGCATCATCACCTCCAAAAATTCAGTCGTCTGCTTTGCTTCTTTAATACCAGCTGCCGCTTCTCCTAATTCTACCACCTTTTCACATTTGCGATGTTTGACGGTTGCGCATACAGTGCAACAATGTATACCATGATCTACACAAAAAATCTCGACAAATTTATTTGAATGGACATCACATGTAATCAACCCGGAAAAGGATGCAGTCGTGTCTCTTTGTGTCTCTTGTAATGTTAGAATTTTATGGTTTGCGGACACTTTAAACTTACGGTGACAGTTCTCACACATAGAACAAAGTGCCTCCTGACAGACAGTACACCATGACACTGCGTTCTGATTTACATTGCTCAATTCGCATGCGTTGGATAATTTTTCTAGTTTTTGTATCGCTTGTCGATCAATCATCGATATAATTAAATGATTGGTTGAAAGCTCATCTACCCAACATTCAAGATTGATAGAACGTTCTCCAACTGACACCAGACTTCGACAAACAGGACATTTGAAACTTATAATGTTTTCCTTATCAACAGATGACTGAATGTATGTATGAATACATACCTTACAGAACGTATGTAGACATGGTAAACATTTTGGAGTTTTGAACGTCTCTAGACATATACTGCAAGTCAACAGTTCATCTTCTTCATTAATCACATTTAAATACCCAGTCGCCATTTTGTCACATTTAAACTTCCTGGATGAATGATATACCTAGTTATATATATATGTGTCATATTAATATATCATGTGTGTGTCAAATTATTTTAAACTTTTCAATTCTGGTAACGTGATCTTATCTAATTTTTATTCGCATCGCTCCTTTTTTCGGCTTATTCTTTATATTATTTTCGAAAACTCCCAATCAAGCAATGAATAAATGCAAAATTAGGCATAACTCTGAATATAAAGATTGAATATAAGAAATAATCAAATCAAAGAGGTTTTCATTATGCGGGTAGAAATGATGTATCCCAAGCCATATGACTATTGACCACCGGCGCTAGGGTACAGGATTTCGATATTGTTTTTCATTGTTTCCACTGGATATTAAATATCCTATATTTATATCACATACTTATCACAACTATAATTGTCTGACCTTGTGTTGGGATTTGTACAATGAACATAAACCTAACATGAACAACAAATAGTTTTACTCTACTTGACTATAACGGTGCCCAACAAGCGATTAGACGAATGACGAAAAAATTATTGACGATTGACGTTAAAACCTTTTGATAGAACTAGACCTTATGCAAAGTTTTCTCTTTCTCGTATCAGTAATACAATAACATGTATTTGATTATAAAGGATGTTCGATGCTCTGTTTCAAAATAACAAGTTTTTTAAAAGACCGTTTTAAATCAATGTAGGTATATAACAGAATTTGATTGAAAGGTTCGTCTCAAGAAAAGAAAATGTAAAACATTTTGGATGATTTGTCATCTGGGTTATGATCTGGTATATATTATAACAAAATTATTATGCGACAAATTCGCGGGTAGAACACATTATTTTTCCAAGAATATCGATTAAAAATGGGAAACATGTAAAATGGTAATATAACTACGAGGAGGAGAGTCGTAGTGAACTGACTTAATAATTGGATCAATATCTCTAATTCGCCTCAAATTGAGGAACACAACTATAAATAGAAATGAAAAAAGCCTCCATGCAATGATAAAAAAATATGATGCTATTTTTAATAATTGACGGAGCTTAACCATTTATGCGTTTTAAATAGATAAAATTCAGTATAATAAAGATGTAAAAAGTTTGAAGCTATTTTAATGTTTTTAAAGAACTGAATTTCAAAAGATTTTAACTGTGTCAAAATAGGGTCTTTTAACATACTAAATCCGCATCACAGGGACTTTTGGGGTTTCCCAATTTGTAAAAACAAATTTCACTTCGTTCACCGAAAAATTCAACAACATTTGTGAAAATCTCTCAGGGTCGAAACGAGCCATCATACATTGTTCATATCCAAGTTTACGATATTGACAGCGGAAAGAAAGAAAAGGCTATCATTGTCGCCAACCTAAAATTAATTGCCCATACATGGATTATGCCAGGCATCGGGTTAAACGCGAGAAAGAAGACGTAGTTACTCTTTCCGAATGGATTAAGGCTGTGAGGTCGTTGCTACAAATCCGAATTAAGAAACTGAATGGGTCTAATAACAATGCTACATCAATCTTTAAAGACCCAAATGTTGTAAAACCTCCATGACAAATATGTTGTTGTCCCCGCAGATAAAGCCCCAAACAACATTGTTTTTGTGTGTAAATTACATTACATAAACTGCTTGATAAAGGAATTATGTATTGACAATTCACTTGGAAACTCAACATATACCCTCACGACACTTACTAAAGAGGAAATCCTGGATAATCATAGGTCTGTTCTATGCTCCTTTGGAATTTCAACCAAAGATGAAGAACTGGATCTTCCATCACTGTATTGGATAACTAAACTACATAAGTGTCCTTACAAACAACGGTTTATTGGACTTCCAAGTGCTCCACGAAACCTCTTTCTAAATTATTAACATCAATTTTATCAGAAATCAAAACAGGGCTTCAAATTTATTGTGAAGCTACCTATTCTAGAGGTGGCGTGAATCAGATGTGGATACTAAAAAATTCCAAAGATCTTTTAGAGTACATACAATCTAAGACTCTTTCATCTTGCAATAGTATTAAAACATTTGATTTTTCTACACTTTACACAAGTATTCCCCATTCCAAACTAAAAGACAATTTGAAAGAGTTGATCCTGCTTTGCTCCATATAAAAGAATGGCCGAATTAGATACAAGTATCTTGTCTTAGGGAGGGATAAATTCTACATTTAAAAAAATTATTCTGATTCAAACAAAACATTTAAGAAAAAACTGACATGATGCTTGATTTTTTGATTGACAACTTATTTGTTACGTTTGGAGGACGTGTTTTTCAACAAACAATCGGTATTCCCATGGGAACCAACTGTGCCCCCTCTTCATGCCGACTTGTTCTTTATTCATATGAGGCTGACTTCATACAGGAACTCCGTAGGAAGTAAGAAAAGAAGTTAGCAATATCCTTTAACTTTACTTTCCGCTAGATAGATGATGTTCTATCACTAAATAATTCAAAATTTGGTGACTATGTTGAACGCATCTATCCCATCGAACTTGAGATAAAGGATACAACAGATACAGTTAAGTCTGCCTCATATCTTGACTTACATCTAGATATTGACAATCAGGGTCGGTTGAAAACAAAACTTTACGACAAAAGAGATGATTTCAGCTTCCCAATTGTGAACTTTCCATTTCGCATGTAGCAACATTCCTGCAGCGCCTGCATACGGAGTATATATCTCCCAGTTGATACGATATGCCAGGGCTTGTATTTCCTATCATGAATTCCTTGATAGAGGATTCTGCTCACAAGGAAGCTATTAATCCAAGAGTTCCAAGTGGTGAAGTTGGAATCATCCCTTCGTTATTTTTACGGACGCCATCACGAGCTGGTTGTCCGTTATGGAATATCCGTTTCACAGATGATAGCGGGTATGTTCCTAATGTCGTAACTTCAATCCCGTCCCCTTTTTCCCGAATGTGACCTACCGAATTAGACTTATTACCGGGTTTGTACTAACATGAGCAACACGACGGGTGCCACATGTGGAGCAGGATCTGCTTACCCTTCCGAAGCACCTGAGATTACCCCCAATTTTTGTTGGGGTTCGTGTTGCTCAGTCTTTTGTTTTCTATGTTATGTTTTGTGTACTATTGTTTGTCTGTTTGTCTTTTTCTCTTTTAGCCATGGCGTTGTCAGTTTATTTTCTTGTGAGTTTGAATGTCTCTTTGGTATTTTACGCCTCTCTTTTTTGACACATCTCAATGTATGTAAAATAAAATATATTTGTGCAATGCCAAAATATGAGTATCGACAGAATGCAGGACCGAAAAGGTAAATAGCTGTTTTGCAAAAACATTAAGTTATGTTCCAATTTATTGATAACAAAATCAAAAGTTTGTACCAATAAAAAACAATATTCAAAGATCTTATTACAGTGTTAAATTTATTAGTACACCTTTATTCAAAGGATTGATTACTTTACACGGCTGATTTTTATAATCATTTCAAAAACCTAACTACTGAAACCAGTCCTAATATAAGTGATGATTTTGATGCTGGTAATCAAGAGTGTTTGTATAACGAGCTTGATGCGCCTATTACTCCAGAAGTAGAGTGTAAAGTTTTGTTGAAGTTAAAATGTAACAAATCGCCTGGTATTGACAATTTGTTAAATGAGTATTTTCTACATTTTAAAGACATTCTCATGCCTTTAATTGTACAATTGTTAAATGTAATTTTTGAAACTGGATATTTGCCGAAACAGTGGTGTAAAGGAATACATATTCCCGTACATAAAAAAAATTGCTGTAAATGTTACTGATAATTATAGAGGTATTACACAAAGAAGTTGTTTCTGCAAACTTTTTACTACTATTATCAATGAAAGGCTCACATTGTGGGCTAACGAAAATGACATTTTAACTGATGCTCAGTTTGGGTTCAGACCCTGTCATGGTACAGCTGATGCTAGTTTTGCCTTACAATCAGTTATTTCTAAAACTTTATTGTTGTTTTATAGATTATAAAAGTGCTTTTGACAACTTGAATAGAAATGTTCTACATCATAAGCTTGCAAAATGTGGTATTATCGGTAAGCTATTTTCAGTTATAAAATCTGTATATGATAATTCTGTGAGCTGTGTAAAGTTTAAAGGTGAATTTTCTGACATTTTCTCTAGAAAAAGGAGTATTACAAGGGGAACCATTATCACCCATACTATTTCCAATGTTTTTAAATGATTTTGAAAATGAGTTTATTAATAGCTTATGTCTGCCAGTAGACATAAAAGAACTTTCATTGTTTTTATTGATGTATGCAGATGACACTGTTATATTTCCTGAGACTATTGATGGGTTGCAAAATATGTTGAATTCCCTACATAATTATTGTAAAAAGTGAAATCTTATTGTAAACACAAGTAAAACTAAGGTGGTTGTTTTCAGAAATGGTGGTAAATTAAGAAGCGATGAAGAATGGTTGTATAATGGCGAAATTATTGAAGTTGCTGATCATTATTTATATTTTGGTGTTATGTTGTATTACAATGGAAAGTTTAATCAAACTCAGTTAAATATTGTTGCCAAGGGAAGAAAATGTTTATCAATGCTGTATGCTAAAATATAACATATGTGTTTAAATGTACAAACAAAATTGTATTTAGTTGATGTTTATATTTCACCTGTTTTATTATATGGAAGTGAAATATGGGGGTTTTCATAATGCATCTGATATAGAAAAACTTCATATAGAATTCTGTAAAAATGTTTTGACTGTTAAGAAATCCACTGCTACTGCAATGGTTTATTCTGAGTTGGGAAGATTTACTTTATTGATATCTCGTAAAGTAAGAATAATAAAATATTGGATTCGTCTATTACGGACGAGAAATTGTATTCTTAGTGCGATATGTAATGACATGTATGATGAGTGTGAATCAGTAAATAAGTCATCATGGGTTAATAATGTTAAATGTATGTTACTTAGCTTAGGTTTTGGGCATGTATGGTATGCACAGAATGTTGTATCGAAGAAGTATTTTTAAAATTATTCAAAAAAAGGCTTATTGACCATTTTCTTCAGGAAAGAAATATTTTTTTTCGATTTGTCGTCAAAATGTACTATTTATAAACATCTTGTAGATAATTTTCAATTGCAGTTTTATTTGACAAAAAACTTATCACCACAATGTATTAGATTTCTAACTAAGTATAGACTTTGTTCACATAAGCTAAATATTGAATATGGTAGAGTCATAAAAAGAGCAAGAAATGAAAGACTATGTATTTTATGTAACCATGGTGATATCGAGGATGAATTTCATTTTATTTTAAAATGTCCAAAATATGACAATATAAGAAAATTGTATATTAAAAGGTATTATCATACAAATGCATCAGTTTTTAAATTAGTTCAGTTATTGTCAACAAAGAATGTATCGGAATTGCGTAATTTAAGAAAGATATAAGATTTTCAGGACAATCCTTTGAATGATTTATACTAAAGTGTTATTAACTGGCATGGCTGTTTCTGTATTATAGATTCGAGGTTAGCTGTATTGGACCCGAGACTCGAAGAGTCGAGGGCCAATACAGCTGATCGAGAATCTATAACAGGGTCAATACAGAAACAGCCAGTTCATAACACTTTTATAAAATGATTTTAATTCTTTTAATTAGAATAAACGAAGAAACTTACCGTGAAGAAGATACAGAAATTTCATATCTGAACTTGTCTTTTCGCATTCGCGTCCATGGATTTTGTGTCAACATTGTCAGATGTTCTCGTCAAAGTACTTAATATTATGCTATTACAATTCATTTTATCTAACAAATATAAAGAAGCTGGGAAGAATAAATCAGACAGTTGAACTATTCTTACTCTTGGATCGTCTGCGTTCTGATAACCCGAATAATTCAGTCCCTCCCCGTAATCGATCTCTCCTACTTGCGAGGGCCTGAATTCCTAACACGATAAAAACTCTTCACGAATCCTCGATTTTGATTGGTGCTCTGTAGAAGAGATGACCAATCAGCAATCAGCTTAATTTTATCTAATTCCGAATGATTGATTGAAGATTTTTCATTGTCTATTCATTCAGACGTTAATGAAGTAATCGTAGATCAGCGGAATATACCGTCTGAATTATTCGGGTTAGTGTCAATAATCGAAAGTCGTACTCGAAAAGGCTGTGAAATATTTCCGTTTCAAGACCTCAAGACGTTACAAAACACTGAAAAGGGCTGATTTGCTCATATCATTTAATAATATGTAGTCTTGCCTCCGATTGTATTTAAAATGTTTTGGTATGATATACATGTATATATTTATGATATACCTATAAGCTGTATTGCTTCTGGTTTGAAATAAACTATTAAACTATCTAAATTTACAGGCTCTATAAACTATATCACTGCCCACATGACAGAGGTATTGACTAAGATAGCGATACTGACTGAGCCGTAGTCGAGGTCATTATCGCTGTCGCAGCCAATACAACTGTCCTACGGGCAGTCCATGTATCACGATAATGACCAGTTTTCAATAACTATTATGTTTATTTCATTGAGGAACCATGTTTTTAAAGATTCTCTTAAATTCAAATTGTTCAAGGCAAACTCGAGTTATTGTACGATTTCTATAGGAAAGAGTGAAAACCAGTCATAGTGATAACTATGAGTCACTGCCATTCATTTAAGTGCATTTTTTCAGTATATGAATACAAAATAAATTTTCTATAATTCTATAATTAACGAATCGCGACTGCCGTTTTTTATAGGACATCACTCTAAACAGAGAAACCACGCCCCACTGGTCATTAACATGTAAAAGTCCGTTAACGACCGGTTTTTATGGTCCGTTTTTTCTGTTAAAGACCGATGGAATTTTTTACTGAAGAATAAAGAATGTCATGTGGCCCCTTGTTATCCCCAAAAAAAAGCTAATTCTTAACCGATATGAAAACAATAATTTTAACAACAACTTTGCCGGATGTGAAAGAAGTTACTAAGATTTTATTACTGTTTTGCTTAAACCTTATTTGTCCCTTGTCCCAAGGTCTTTACATAAAATTATTCTAATCAGATATCCTGATGGTAAAATTTGGTGTATACACTTGTTCTACTGGAAAAAAAAACCACAAATATTTCCATGGAAATCTCTCCCATTCCGATCGGACTGAACAACGTTTGGTGTTTGTAAGTAAATTTAGTTTCCGATATCATATTGCCCGCTGTAAAAAAAACTGAACTTTAAAATTTCTTCGTGTTCAAGTTACTTCGATAAATAAATTATTTAGTAAAAATGCTATTCATTGCCTAATCTTTGTTATGTCCTGAATCAAGGGTTGACAGAGTTTTCACCTTTATTTTTGCCAATATGGAAATGCATCAATGTTTGGAATTGCGCCTATTGAAGTGTAACATAGCGACTCCGTTTGTGCAGTATGTCGCTGATTTACAATAATTTCACTGAGACATTTTACAGTCTCTTGGAAGTTTTCTACGACACGGTTCCTTTCGAAACTAAAGGATCGTTCACCAATGTTCGATGTTGCATTTTTTATGTCAGATTCTTTTTTTTTCTTCTTTTGAACCAACTTGTTCAACTCAACCAAACACTGAATATCTGACCCATCAATGATGCACGCACTTAAAATCTTGTGCCATTTATCGACAGTAGACTTTAAACTGATCATTTCTGTTATTGCGTCTGCAAGTTCTATTACTATGCTCTTATTTTTTATGATCAACTCTTCATTCGCTGTTTTTTTCAAGATTGTTAACGGGTTCGATTAAATCTTTCTTCCACTTTTCAATTTCTGAAAATATAGTTTTCTCCATAATGTCAACGCTAGACACATTTTTCTGTGTGTCTTGAATTGATTTGTAAAGCAAAGTGTTCCACTGCATCATCACCTTAAAAAAAATTGGTCGTCTGCTTTGCCTCTTCTTCTATTACAACCACCTTTTCACGTTTACGATGTTTGACGGTTGCACATACAGTGCAACAAGGTTTACCATGATCTACACAAAAAATCTCGACAAATTTATCCGAATGGTATTCACATGTGGTCAACAGAGAAACATGAAATTCTGTCTCTTTGTTCTTCTTGCAACGTAATAATTTTATGGTTTTAAGACCCTCTAAATTTACGGTGACAGTTTTCACAGACAGAACAAAGTGCTTCCTGACAGACGGTATACCATGACACAGCTTTCTGCTTTGCATTGCTCAGTTTGCATGCGTTGCATAATTTTTCTAGTTTCTGTATCGCTTGTCGATCAATCATCGAAATAATCAAATGATTGTTTGAAAGTTCCTCTGCCCAATATTCAAGATTACTTGAAAGCTCTCCAACTGACATAGACACATGAAACCGATTTTAATGTTTTCCTTCGCATCAGATGACTCAATGTATGTATGAATACATAACTTGCAGAACGTATGAAGACATGGCAAATATTTAGGACTTTTAAATATCTCTAGACAAATACTGCAAGTTAACAGGTCGTCTTCTTCTTCGATCACATTTAATGACCATGTCGCCATTTTATCACTTTAAGACTTCCTGGATGAATGATAAATATATCTTTTTATATGTTATATCAATACATTCTTTTATGAGTTCAATCATGTGTTTATTCTAAACTTTTCCATTCTAGTTTTGTGATCTTCTCTATTTTTTATTTGCTTATTCGGTTTTTCGGCTTATATTTTTACTTTTTTGTTTTAGTGTTTTTTCGAAAACTCACAATCCTGCAATGAATATAAAAGGCAAAACATTGAATATAAAGATTAAAATTGGAAATGAACCAATGAAAGAGGTCTTTATAACATTAATTTGTGTTTTAATTGGGTCTTGTGTTGAATTTTTTAACCATTTGGTTTGTGATAAATGCTTCATCTCGTTTTTGTACCTATAGAAAGAAATCTACAATTCATGATGTTTCTTTCAAATGAATTAAAACGAATAGAGTAATACTTTTGTCACGCTAAATGCAAACAGACAAAGGATTTGACAATCAACTCTCTGATCAAGACAAAGGATTTGACAATCACCTCTCTGATCGAGACAAAGGATTAGACGATCACTTCTCAGACCGAGATAAAGGATTTGACGGTAACCTCTCTGACCGAGACAAAGGATTTGACGGTCACCTCTCTGACCGAGACAAAGGATTTGACGGTCACCTCTCTGACCGAGACAAAGGATTTGACGATCACCTCTCTGACCGATACAAAGGATTTGACGATCACCTCTCTGACCGAGAGAAAGGATTTGACGGTCATCTCTCTGACCGAAACAAAGGATTTGACGGTCATCTCTCTAACCGAGACAAGGGATTTGACGGTCATCTCTCTGACCGAGACAAAGGATTTGACGATCACATCTTTGACCGAGACAAAGGATTTGACGGTCATCTCTCTGACCGAGACAAAGGATTTGACGGTCAGTTCTCTGACCGAGACAAAGGATTTGACGATCACATCTTTGACCGAGACAAAGGATTTGACGGTCATCTCTCTGACCGAGACAAAGGATTTGACGGACACCTCTTTAACCAAGACATAAGATTTGTTGATCACCTCTCTGACCAAGACAAAGGATTTGTCGGTCACCTCTCTGACCAGAGTAAGAACATAAAATGTAAACCATTTTGAATGCTTTGTCATCTGGGTATTTATCTAAACACATTATTTTCCAAACTTATCAAGTAAAATTATAAAATGTAAAATTATTCCTATAGCTTCTAGGAGGGAGTCGTAGTAACCAAAATATATAGAAATATAAAAAAAATGTCCATTGGCTAAAACAATAAACAAAAAACAAAAAACAAAACCAAACAATCAAAATATGAGGATTAAGCAACGAGAACCCCAGCAAATGTCAGGAATAATTTCCGGTAAGAATCGATAATCATCGATGAGTTACGTTTAAATGGCCATAGGTACGATTCAGACAAAAATTACTATATGATTATTTTCGATCGTTTCAATCATTTATAAAGTTGAATTTTTAAAATTATTTCGCTTTAAAAAATATGCTTAAAAATATCGCTAATGTATTATTGGCTTGCAATTCAATAATTCAACCTCATCTAAATCCGTATTCAGTTGACCTTTGGTTTAACCTTATCTGGAGATGGGTTATACATGTGCTTACCGTGTTTGAAAAAAAATGTCAACGTTGAAAAATGAAACAAGGGAGCCAATGGGGACAACCATTTCGTTGATAAACCCACAAAAAATAATTCTTATACTGGTAAAAACAAAGATGTTACCTATTTGTATAATCTATGATATGAAATCAAAGAGACCCAAAAATATCGGCATTATACATGTGCACGTGTTTGTCTCTGTTTTTATAATCATATTCAGGTTTATATCGGGTCATTGGTATTCTTTGGAGGTCATCTCAATGGTTGACTAGATTGCGTCTAGTCTAAAATACACAAGAAATGCTGATAGTTATAGCGAGTTCATCAATTGGTGATTGTTTATTTTGGACTTTTGTACTTTGGATAAACTTTTTAGTATGTAATAAATCAAATACGATAATTTGAGTCAAATCAGTAGACCTGAATTTGACAGCTTATGTCCCTTTAAAACTTGACAATGGGGAAGATCGCAACATTATACGTACAAGCAAACATTTACATTACCTTAAAAAACGAACCGAACAGTTTAAAAAAATATAAAACCGACATCCATGTGTGTGTGATGCTATACGAATTATCAATTTAACATGAAAACAATTTCCAACGGAAAGTGCTTTGTCATTCAAATGCTAATGTCATCTCTAGTCACGTCCGCAAATATATATTTTTGTGCTTAAGGGAAAACAAATAAAATGATTTCCTCTGTACGACGAGTTTTTATTTAAGTATCATCACTATATCTATCATTAATTATCTTTAATTGATAACCTGGGGTTGCTTAAGAAGTTGATTTGACTCTAAATTTGTAAGCATTGTTGCTATACCAAAAAGAGCTTTCAGAAATTACAGATAATTCCTTTAATAGAAAACATCGTTTAAAAGAAAATGTTTAAATTGTCGATTTTTTTCTAATTGTATAACAAGTTAAACAACTTGATATATATATGCATGTGAAATAAGATGTGCTTGCTACTGGACGCTTAGCAGGAAAATATCAATTGAATAAAAGAAATCAAAACATGCCGTTCTTTAAAAGACACAGTTGCAATTCTTACATATAATGACAGAGCATGTAAGATAGGTGGTTTATAAGATTTATGAACTACTATACTAAACGTTAAACTAATAGGACTAAATGTAATAAATGTAGCATCGTACCTTTAAGTTTGTTCATAGAATAGTATGTTTGAATATCTGTTCTTTCCATAGCCATAAGCCCTCAAAAAGCAACCAGCTTAGATAAATTAACCCGTTTACTCTTGCAAAGTGTTTTTTTTTAATGTTCTAAAAGGCGAAAGTGCTTAAAGTTTATCGATGTTCCGGACTCGAAATATTTTTTGGGAAAATAAACAAAGAAAATTATTAAATCTAATTACAATTTAATGCTATCATAAAGATTTATTCCACATTGTTCCTGTTGAAATTCTGGTCTACTCATTTTATGCCTCCATACCTTTATATTTCTATATTTTCTCAAAAGTTTGGATCAATGAAATCGACAAAATCAATAGGCAGTTAAAGTGACGTATGATTTATAATCGATTTCACACGGAAAATGTGAAGTCAGTCAAGGCCTATGACCTTTCAAGTCACGTTCGCAATTAATTTTGTATGAATGAAAAGTGAACTAATGAAAGCACTTTTAAAAATAGTCAATATTTGATATATTATTCAAATATATGCATCGGTTGACTTTCCCATTTCTGATTTTTCTTTTGTTGCGCTTTCGGTCTGCCACTAGACATGTTTTTACTGTTTCGTTTAAAAAAAGACAAAACACACATAGTCTATCTGAAAATACCATTGAGAATTTCTTCATTGGTTAATGACTAATGAACAAATAGTGTTGTACTTTTCTCAATAATTTTCCTCAAGTCTGATCTCACTTACCCTATCTTTCAATTTTCTATGGACAATTAATAAACAAGACAATCGTAGTTTATAGCTGTACAAATCAAGGTATATAAAAAGTTAAATATCGATATGTTCTTGCTCGTTTTGGAGGAAAATCTTTATAGACTTTGCGATTGGCTCTCGTATCTTTTCAAAATAAATATCATGAAATTCTGCAATCAACACCAGCTTCTCAAAATATATATAAAAAAAACAACATAATGATATGATAAAAGAAAAGACCCGTCAAAGTTCCTAACTTCAGACAGGTACATCTATATGTTGCGGAGTTAATTTTTTTCTGATTTTTAGATCAGAACTGTTACCAAGGAAACAAATTATAACGGACAAATCACAAATTTACTTTTTGGTGAACATTTATTTTCCTGGCTTTTAAAATCAAGGAAAGCATTTTACAAAATAATTAACATTCTCTATCTAAATGTCTTATTTTGAACATAACTGAATGTTATATCTTGTAAACACCGATGAGCTGTAAAGCTTAAGGTAATAAAGAATATATATATAACACAGTAAAGTATTGTGGTATGTATGCTAATTATATAAGAATTATCGTCTTTAAACGGTACCGCCAAACAGTCAATACTAGTACTTTGTTCAAAATTAATACCATCTGTACTGATGTGCAGTCTTGTCGATGTTACTTTTAAACATGAACAATTTTGATCATAAAAAAGGCGTTAATTTTCTGAGTTTGTGGTTGCTTTTTTCATTTTTGTGTCTTTCTTCCTCGTTGGCAAGTAGGTATCTGGGGATATGAGGTTCAACCAAGATCTTTAAAAGTTAGAGAGAAGATACAGGGTGGCAACACAAAAGCATAAGTCACAGAACATTGACAACACCATACACTGTAAGTCAGAATAATAAGCAAGAGAAATATAGATTTCACCACTGTGTGTTACGATATTTCTCCACTCGAGACAGTTAAATTTTAATATTTAAAGCGCGAGGCTTGCCGAGCTTTTTAAATAATTAAAATTTAACTGTTGAGAGTGGAGAAATATCGTAATAAACGAGTTAAAGTGGTGAAATCTATATTTCTCTTGCTTATTATTCTGACTTACAGTGTATGGTGTTGTCAATGTTCTGTGACTTATGCTTTTGTGTTGCTACCCTGTAACTTCTCTCTAACTTTAAAAGATCTTAGTTGAACCTCAAATCCCTAATGATTTTCTCATATTCTCTAATGATTTTTATCCTTCCTTTTCAAAGATTTCCAGAAAGTTGTGTTCTGTATGTGTGACGTCATCAGGCATGGTCGCCTTTTTTCATGACGTCACAATAGGAAAATTCAGAAGAAACCAAGAAAATTTGACGTCATGATTCAATTTCGACCAATCATTTGCCGAGAACAGATATTTCACTAGTGGGGAGAAATATTTTTTTCACACCGATCAAGAAATGTGAAGATAGCACAAAAATTAGAGAAAGACTGTTAATCGTATAATCTTCCCGTGCGAACAAGTTAAAAGAAAA